CTCTGACAGTCTAGGTTTCTTACCATCCTTTCCTGTCACTATACGTAAAAGTAATTCTCAGTTTTCACAGAATTCTCAGCTGTCCTACGGCAGATGCCCTATTAAGAGTGTCTTCCACTGTGCCTAAAGGGCAATCCAATTGTGCACACCCTTTGACCCAGCAATACCACTTCTAGGTCTGTATCCCAAAGAGATCATAAAAAAGGGAAAAGGACATATTTGTATGAAAATATTTATAGCAGCTCTTTTTGTGGTGGCCAAGAATTGGAAATTGAGGGGATGCCTATCGATTGAGGAATGGCTGAATAAGCTGTGGTATATGAATGTAATGGAATACTATTGTTCTATAAGAAATGGTGAGCAGGCAGACTTCAGGAAAACCTGGAAAGATTTGTATGGACTGATGCTGAGTGAAGTGAGCAGAACCAGGAGAACACTGTCCACAGTAACAGCCATATTGTGAGATGATCAACTATGATTAACTTAGCTCTTCTCAACAATGCAATGATCTAAGACAGCTCCAAAAGATTCAAGATGGAAAATGCTATCCACATCCAGAGACAGAACTATGGAGTCTGAATGAAGATGGAAACATACTATTTTCACATTTTTTTTTGTAGCTTTTCCCTTTTGTTCTGTTTCTTCTTTCACAATGTGACTGCACATGTATAACCTATTTCAGATAGCTTGCTGTCCTGGGGAGGGGGAGATGGGAAGAAGGGAGGGAGGAAAAAATTTGAAACTCAAAATCTTATAAAAAAGTGAATGTTGAAAACTATCTTTACATGCAATTGGAAAAAATAAAATACTATTTGCCAAAAAAAGAAGATGTCTTCCATAACACTCTTCTCACAACTGTCAATCACCTGCTTTTAAGCTGCAGATAAAAGCAGATCAGCTGTTGGGACTACTCTAATGTCAACTTTTTGGTGCACTGCCATTTACTCATCACCTCCCAGGTCCAAGAAGTTGGGGAGAACGCACTAGATTTGGCACAGTGCTTCTCTTTTGTAGCTGGTCCAAACACTTCCATTTTTTCCCCTTGGTATCTGCTTTCCCCTGTCACTGCCGCTGCCCAACTCACTGTTTGTCATATCGGCTCCATGAGGCTGCCATGACTTTCACATGCATCATTACATCCAAGAGAAGAGCATTGGAATGCACTCTCTATCTTCTCACTCCTTCCCTTCCCTGCAAAAGTCTACTGGATAAAGAAGGTGACTGGGAGAGAAGGAATGCAGGGAGTGAGACATGACCTCATCATCTCTCCTACAGTAACTCTGGCATTGAGGGCCTGGTGCCTGCTCTGTTCAGAACCTGGAAGCCTCTGGCAGGAAACATTGCCATATCACTTCTATCCTGCATTAAGGCAGGGTGAGGAGGGGGAAAGTGATGGGGGGAGGGGGTTGTCTATCTTCCAGCCTATCTACAAGATAAGTGATCAGTATCTGCTCACCATCTGTCCTGCTTTTTTTTTTACCTCATCTGTATCTGTTGGATCAGTGAGTAGCGTGTGTGTGTGTGTGTGTGTGTGTGTGTGTGTGTGTGTGTGTGTGTGTGTGTGTGTGTCTTTCCATCTGGGTCTGCTTAGCCCCTGATTGGCTGCTAGGGGAGCCCAGCTCCTGTGCCTGTTCAGCCTAGATGTCACCTCAGCAGCTGTGGACGGTCTGCTTCTGCTGTATTTGCACCTGCAAGGCATTGCTGCCGAGGCCCACGGGTTCTGTTTAGCATCTGCCCCCTCCTGGGTGTGGACTCCGTGTCTCCTGAGGAGCGTTCTGCACTTGCTACTTACTCAGGGTTTATTTTAAGTCTGCTCAATGTTACTTACTGCTGGGCCTGCTGAACATCTGCTAGGTACCGTTCTGTCTCTCCCCTTAGCATCAGGGTCACTGTCTAGCATCTGTTCTACATCTGCTGGTACCTTGGCCTCTCCTGGGACCAGTTGATCACTGTTTTACTTGGAGACTATCTAGGTGGTGCAATGGATCTCGTGCTGTGCCTGGAGTCAGGAAGACTCATCTTCCTGAATTCAAATCTGGCCTCAGACACTTACTAGCTATGTGACCCTAGCCAAGTCACTTAACCCTGTTTGCCTCAGTTTCATCATCTGGAAAAATGAACAGGAGAAGGAAATGGCAAACCACTCCAGTATCTTTCCCAAGAAACCCCCAAATGGGGTCATGGAGAGCAGGACATGATTGAAAACAACTGAACAAATTTCCTCTGTGTCTACTCTAATGCCTATAATATGACAATTTCTGCGTTTGCATCCACACTGTCTTCAGCTGCTGCTCTACACACACCACACACACACACACACACACACACACACACATACACACTACATACACAAGGCCAGTCCAGCATTAGGTACAAACGGACGGTATGTATGCCTCCTCTGGATCTAGAAATACTTTTGTTCTGCTCTGTTTCTTATGCAATCAGCTGATTAGTTTTTACTTATTTAACTTTAGCCAAAAGTCAGTAAAGCAGCAGGAGGAGGAACAGACCTGGAAGTCAGAGGATCTAAGTTCAAATTGTGCCTTTTATGCCATTGGTCAACTCACATAACTTCTCTATTCATTAGTTTTTTCATCTCTCAAATGAGGAGTCTGAGCTAAACCTCAAAAGTCCCTTCCAGCTCTGGATTTATGATCCCATAAAGTCCTATTTTATTTAGGGACTGGGACCAGTCCATCTGGAGGTAGCTAGGTGGCTCAATGGATAGAGCAATGGGCCTGGAGTCAGGAAGACTTGAGTTCAAATCTGGCCTCAGACACTCTAGCTGTGTGACTCTGGGAAAGTCATTTAAGCTCTGTTTGCCTTAGTCCACTGGAGAAGGAAGCAGCGAACCACTCCAGAATCTTAGCCAAGAAATTCCCATGGACGTTATTGGCATGCTATGGTCTATGGGGTCATGAAGAGTTAAGAACAACTGTTCCATATCCCACCTTTTACATTCTTAATTATTATGCCTCTTAATTCTAATGTCTTTCTCTGCTATTATTTCCTATTTGTCCTAAATAGAGCTTGTTTGCATGTATGTTTGTTTGTTACCTCTACCGTTAGATCATGAGCTACTTGAGGACAGGGACTACCTTTTGCTTCTTTTTGTATCCTTAGTTCAGCACAGTGCCTGGCACACATTAGGTGCTTAATGAATGTTGATTGATTGATATAAATAATCCTCTCTCTCTGTCTCTCTGTCTCTCTGTCTCTCTGTCTCTCTCTCCTTCCCTCTCCCCCACGGCCCTTTGATAACATGCCTATTTTTTCCTTTCAGCCTCAGTTTTACAAAAACAACCCTTCTTGTCCCCCCACAACCCTTCCTCTAGCCTCCACTCCCTTCCCTAACACTCCCTAGGATCTGGGATACAATAATGGAGGTGCTGCCTGGCACTGCAAATTCCAGACCCCTAGGAAAGCATCAGCCCCTGGAAGGTGCCATGCACTCCCTAGGAAAGTTCAGGAGGGAAGCACCATCCTTTATGTCCAGAGCCTCAATCTGAGAAACTCCAGCCACATCGGATGAGAGATGTAGCCACAGAAAGCAGGAGTGAGAAAATCCTAGCGGCCACAGCTTCGTCAGTTTGGCAAAGGGGAGACCCTGAATCAGGCCTTCCTCTCCTTTAACAGCATTTGTGATCACTAAATGGAGACAAAATCCTCTTTCGTTCCTACATAACCCCCCAGTGTCTTCCACCCCGTCCCAGGGCACGAGTGCGTTTGAAGGCAGTGAGTGAGGGATATTTTCAGTTGCTCTGCTGGTTCTCTTTAGCTCCCTCCCCCTCCCCAGGCCTCTCTGAAGCACCAGTTTACAGGCAAATCTGGCCCCTCGGCCTCACTGATTTTCTCCATTTCCCCTTCTGAAACTTCCAAGTCTGTCTGACTCCCTCGATCCAGTTTACCAGGATGTCAGGGACCACGAGGACACCTGCCGGTAGCATGGGCAAACAGAGGTCTTCCCACAAATCCCTCACATCTGTGCCCGAGCTGTCAGTTTGTTTCTCAACATCCGCCAAATTTCCTTCCCTTGTATTGGGGTTTTCAAATCCCCTTTTTGTTAACACACATGACTTCCACACTTGTACACACACACACACACACACACACACACACACACACACACACACACCCAGGTCTGCCATACCATTATATACATGAAAAGACCAAAGCATCTCATCAACATAAATAATGAAAAGCAGGCCTGCTTTCCCTCAACAGACAAGCCTAGAAGACACCCATTTCGCACCCATCAATCTTCCTGTCATCTCTCTGAGGGTGGCTGTGGGCTCCACAGACAGCACCCTCCAATGTGTGAACATTTGAAGTCGGTCACTCCCTGGGAGGGAGTGGGGAGCAAGCCGGGAGTTGGGTGGGAGCTATAGAGGGAGCAAGCTTGGACATACATGTACACACCCACATGAACCCAGCGCGTGGGACATGCTTATTGCAGCGTGTCGGGGAAAGCTATCATCTTTGAAAAGGGTTTTTACCAACCTTATTCCATAACAAATATCATTTCCCCCAAAGAATGACTGGAAAAACTAAAAGAGAGAGACGTGTCACAAGCAGCTCTAGAAAACCAGGGAAAAGATCCAGGTCTCCAGACTCATGGAACTATGCTTTCTCCTCTGGCCCATTCTGCCTTTTTTTTTTCCCATAGGACACATATGCTTGTGGTTACCCATATCACCACATAGATGTGAGCACACATGTTCCACAGGCAGTGCAATGCCCCCCCCCCCCAAATGAACAACTGTCAAGGATTTTAACTGGATGGGGTTATATCCTTGGCATGAGGTTGCTGGGTTTCAAGGAGAAGCAGTCAAAACGGCCCAGAATTGTCCTGGTTCCCTCCCAGTCCCTGCTGAGCCTTAGGTGCTCAGAAAACCTAAGGGCAGCTGGCTCTTTAGTTGAGCCCTGGACTCTCTCTACAAGTCTCTCTGCTCAAGTTGGGACCCTCCCGAGGTGACACTCAGATGAGAGCTGGGACTTACTGTGCTCTGCAAGACCCTGGATCATGTCGAACTTATGGATTTCTTTGGCATAGTATTCCGACTCAGTGTTTTCCTGAGTGCAGCTTTCCTCCTTCTCCTCCTGCATCTCCTCCAGCATCTCCCGGGTGCTGTTATATAGGGCTAGGATGTGGTAGGGCACATGGGCCAACGTTGATGCCTCAGGAGGGCTGGTGAGCCGCAGCTTGCTTAAGATCTGTCCCCTAATGGCTTCCACTCTTTTTCTCTTGATGTGACCAAAGTCCAAGGTGGTACAAGTGGAGAGGGAGAGACTGACTGTGGCGAAGTTCAGCAGTGAAAGGACCACCAGAGCCCTTTGCAAGTGCATCTTCATGTGCGAAACAGGGGAAAGGGGACCAGGGGAGCAGCTGGGCCTGGCAAAGGAGACCAGGAGCTGTGCAAAAGGAGTTAGGAAAAGCAGGCAGAGCTTTCGATGCAGCCTCCCCAGATCCCGAAGACTGAGGCTTGGCAAGAAGGTGCATGAACTCACTGCACTGCAAGAGATTCAGGACTTCCAGGAAGCGTTGGCAAAGCTTAGGAAGAAGAAGCAGGCTCTGTGCCTTGCACAGTTGGGATCCTTCTCCATGTGTCTAAACAGGTTCCGCTGGGCTGTGATTCCAGGCAAACCAGGTGAAGAGCACCAAGTAGGGGTAGCAAGGGAAGAAAGGAAGGCTTGGGGCGGGGTGGGGGGGGGGACAGAGGCTTGGAGGGGAAAATGGGGAGAATGTTGGCGTTTTCCTTAGGTAGAAAAAAATAATAATAAATAGAACTGATAGCTAAGATCACAAAATATTACTTTGACAACGAGGGGCAAAAGTTGGTGTTTTTGAAGAGAGGCTAAGAGAACAATGTTTAGTTTCCAAATTCAGTATCCTTGGATATCCCAAAATAAGAAGGAAGAGAAGAGAAAAAATCAGATCACCAGTAAGTAGGTGGCTGGTGGCAGGGCTGGGCTGGGCCGGGCCACCGTCCCCAGCTAGGGACAGAAGGAAGCGCTGGGCACACTGGTCTTTCAGACACACCATTCATACTTTCCCCTTGGTTTACATTTCCTCGAGGGCTTTTGAAATTATTTTTGTCACCCGCTGCCTCTCGTCTTCATTGGCTGCTGATTTGGGATTACGTGTAATGAGAAGGACTAGGCACCTGGTTGCTGCCTCCCCTCCAGTTTTGCCCCAATAATCCACTTGGACGCCCGGGGTCACCAGGACCTTAGCTTCTCTTCTCCCTTGGTCATTGCTTCTTTTCACTGCTTCACTTAAAAAAAGAAAAAAAAAGGAAAAGAAAAAAGAAAAAAACCATAAAAATAAAATAAAACAAGTCAGTTCACTGTACTCCTGCTTCTTGAATGTTATTCGTTCTTTCTCATTTTCTTCCCCTACCTCTTGCTTTTTGCTCGCTTCTACGTCCCTCTTGCCTGTGATCTCTCCTTTCTCTCTCTCTCCCTTCTCTCTCTTTCTCTCTCTGTCTTCCTCTCTCCTCTCCCCTCCTCTCTCCCTCTTCCTCTCCCTCTCTCTCTCTCTCACACACATACACACACACTGCTTTCTCTATTTCTCTCTGCTGAAATTTTATACCTCCCTCCCATGACGTCTTTGGCTAGGGATGGGGGGAGGGAGGGACTAGCAAACTCAGCCTCATATTCAGCACAATTTTAATGTTTTAAACAGGCACAGGAAAAGCAGATCCCATTTGAAAATACTTTGCAAATCCTCTCATTCTACGTGGTATTGGGCTTTTTTCCCTCTTTCCTGGAGTCCCTTTTTCAGGGCAGTGTTCTCTGATACACCTCCTTAGGAAAGTTACCCTGATCAACTCTCCTCTTTCCTTTGAGCTCCTTCCTTTCTTTCTTTCACCCTCTCCCACAGCTGTCAATTCTTCCTTTAAAAAAAACCCCAACTCTAACCCAAGGGGCCCCTCCTCTGCCAGGTCGGGAGGGGCAGTGCAAGGAAAACACTACCCCGACTGGAGGAAGGGCTTTAGGGAATCGTGTTTGCTAGTTGTTTTGCAGGAGTTTGGCCGTGCCAAGCCTCAATTGTCGAGGTGATTCATGTTCTTCTTAACGGGATTTTGTTCTATTCCTCAGAGATCCTGGCACCATTTCTTCATTGACAAGATCTGGGGAGTGAGAGGGCTTTGTGGGGCTTGGAGGTGCTCCAGAGGACTTTAGAAAGATGGTGGATTTATAAAAAGATCAACCCTGCCCCCTGGTGGTCAGATTCTGACACTGAGAGTTCAAAGCTAAGTTTGCACTTTTCTTTTCTCAGATCCAAAGCAATTTGAAAAGCGAGGCCAGATAAGGGGAGAAAGGGAGATAAAGGACTCAGGGTGGATGCAGGGATGGGGCAGAGAGGCCTGTACTGTATACATGTCCAACAGATATATCAAATTTCTTTTTTTTCTTTTTTTATTTTTTGAGATGTGTCCAAGGTTAAGTTAGTGACAGAGCCTGGGTTGCAGCCCAGGTTGTCAGATTCCCATTAAAGCTCGTCATGTTAACTACTTCTGGTAACCCCAGGTCTAACGAGGGACCACTGGGGATGAAGAGAGGGGGAAGGGAACAACTCTGGCGTTACAGGTCAGGCTTGTGGTAGACTTGTAGAACATCCAAAGGGTGGTATTCCAAGTGAGCCAACTTTGTCCCCACATTAACCCCATCATAGCCACCTGTGCCAGGATCAGTAGTTAGGATTCTGCCCTGTCTTGTCCTTTTTAGGAGAAATAAATTAAGACTTAGAGAGGGAACTGTGCTTGAGGTCACACAAGTGGCTTTTTGTTAGAATCCTTCCAGCTGAGGGCTTTCCCCCCTCTTCTTTTCCATTGTATTATTCTGCCTCTCTGGAAAGGCACGAGAAGGGGGTGGGGTCTGGAGGCTGGGCTCCACCCCCAGAATACCGCAGTCCTCCCTGGCTCAGCCTCTGCCTCTTGGATAAGGTCATGGATCAGAAGGGAAGGGTCCTCAGGATGTTGGCTGCTTTTTCCTGGCTGCCAGCTTTGTGGCTGGCACCTGTGACTAGGGGCCATTAGAAATATCAGGCCCCCAATTCAGATTCTCTGGCGTTTTCTTCCTTCAGGGTAGGCAGGGGATAGAATTCCCTGGCACTTAGTGCAGTAATTGAGGGCAAATCCAGGGGAGAGGGCAAAGGAGTAGCTTTAGAGGAGATACCTCTTACATTGTGTCCAGAGCTGAAAGGCTGAGACCCCCGACTCCCCACACACCTAAGGGGGCCATGACACGGCTGTGGGCCTGTGAGGCTTCAACACCAGGGACTAGGGGGTAAGGCTATGAATTTCCCTGCTAACTCCCAGGGATCATGGGAAACTTTTGGCTTTTCTGGGATTCCATGTTGAATCTGCCACAGAAGCATGTATTTAGAGACGGAAGGGACCTTCAAAGCTATATATAGTCTCATCTTACAGTTGAGGAAACTGAGGCCCAGAGATAAAGGACTTTACCAACTTTCCCATGTTCACACATAAACGGGAGAGTCAGGATTTGAATCAAGTACCTCTTTCCCATACATGATGCTGCCTCCCTTTAATTTTTTTTTTCTGGAGATAAGTGGGCCACTTGCCTTTCTCTTCCTTAACAAATTTATGTTGAAATCAGGCTTACATTGTGTCTAGTTTCTCAAGCAGTAGAGTTGGTGGTGAGGGACAGGGCAGGGATGGGGGGAGAGGTCACAGCAGATGTGAGGCAGATTTTACCCCCACCACCTGTGGTTAGAGCAGGGATGGGCAGAAATTGAACCCTAGAAGTGGCCTTGATTCTCATTCTGAGTCACAGTTTGGTGATGAGTTCTCTGTGAGGCATTCCTTAACCGAATAGTTCCCTCCTGTCTAGGTCTTGCCCTTCCAAAGAATCGGGCAGTGTGGGTAGAGCCTACATAGGAAACCTGGGTCTGACTCCAGTTCTGAACATAACCAGCACTGCAGAAAAGTTTCTGAGGGATGAAACAGTGCCCTGGTCTCTCTCATCTTTCTTGGATGTTTGCCTGTCAAGGGCAGCCACAGCTCCAAAGGACAGGTTGTTTGGTCAGTGAGGAGGAACACAGAGGTGGCCAAGGAGGGGATGAACGAGAGATGTAGTCCTGGGCTTCAGTAACTGAGTGTAGTAACTCTTCTTGGGCGTGGAATGTGGCAGGGGAAGAGTGGGATATGGATGGCTTGGTCTGGAGTTCTATCCTGGGACAGGGGAGAAGAGAGAGAGACTTATGTGTGTGCATATGTGTGTATGTGTCTTTCTCTGTGTGTCTGTCTGTGTCTCCATGTGCAGCTGTCTACACTTCTGTCTAGTGTCTGTTTCAGTGTGTGTGTCTATCTGTGTGTGTCTGTCACTCTAGGTATGTGTCTCTTTCTCTGAAAAGAGACTCAGTTTGTGTCCATATCTGTCCCTGTGTGTGTGTGTGTGTGTGTGTGTGTGTCTATATCTATAGGTATATGTGCCCCCAGGGGCCAGCCTACCCTGGTGGTCTGAGTCAGAAAGTAAGAGGTCTCTGGGTAGGTGGAGGGCCCCTCGAAAAGGTGTGTAGCAGGCTCAGACAAGAGCTGCTCTGAACTTGTGAATATAGTAGCTTTTTATGACATAGCCAATAACGAAGATGACCCAGAAACAGAATGATTCTGCCTGCCACCTTCACGGTGATGCCCAACTTTCCAGTGCATAGTTTGGGATCCACTCACAGTCCACACTCTCTGAGGCTGACATGTTCATGCTGATTTCATCCTGGCTGTTGATCCATCTGTTATACTGAACAGTTCTCTCCTGGGGTTCATGAGAGACCTTCGTTAGGATGGAAGGTCAAGGTCTGGGTCTGCTGCTCTGGTAGATGAAGTCTCCCAGTGGAACCTTGTGTTCTCCATCTTGGGAGAGGGTGTTGTGCAGAGGTGCTGTCCCGCCTCTTACCTGCAGCTCCCCACCTGTCTCCAGCCCTCTGGCTCTGGGCCAGGATATGTCTTGGCTGAAGAGTCCTTCCGATATATCAAATTTCTAAGTGTTCAGTTATTTCAATGAAATCTCAAGTGCGCTCTAATATACCATCAATTGATAAACATTTACTAAATATCGACTTAGTTCTTAGTGGGGCAGCTAGGTGGCATAGTGGATCAAGTGCCTGGCCTGGAATTAAAAAGACCTGAGTTCAGAATAGACCTCAGACATTTATTAGCTATGTGACCCTGGGCAAGGCCCTTAACCCTATTTGCCTCAGCTTCATCGTTTGGAAAATGAGCAGGAGAAGGAATTGGCAAACCACTCCAATATCTTTGTCGAGAAAACCCCAAAGGGGGTCACAAAAGTCAAACATGACTGAAAAAAAAAACCCAGCTGAACAGCAAAGTATCTACTGTGTGTCAAGTCCTGTGCCCAGGGGATACAAAAAGAGGCAAAAACAGCCCCTGCCCTCAAGAAGCTTACAATCCAATGAAATGCTAGTTGCTGGGAAGAATATAAAAGCAAACAAACCATAGTCCCTGCTGTCAGTGAGCGTCTGTTTTTGGTTACATTTTATGACTTTGTCAATGTGGGGAACTCTCCAATGCACATTAGTAACACATCTCTAACTTGCAGTCTTAGAGGCTATGCCTGGGAGCATGGACAGGTCTTAACCCACAGTCACCAATCAATTTCAGTTTCAGAGACAGGACTTGAAAAATATCATCCTTACTTTATCCACTGTGCCACACTGCCTCTTAGAAACTTAAAGGTTGTCACATATGCAAATTGTCATATTGAAAAAATTAAAAATGATTAAGAGATGACCTTCAGCCTCTCGATTGCCTTCCTAGGATCCTCTTTTGCTTAGGAATGTCCTTCTTAAACCCTGTTCCCTACAACTCATCACAACACATTGGTCCCCTTTTTTCTTCTTCCCATCCTCTTTCCAGCCTTCATTTTCTCTAATAAAAGGCTGAGGGGGCAGAGGATAGATAGCAAAGCTATGATTTTCCCCTCATTTTTCAAGTGCCCAGGATTCACATTTTAGGACTACTATTTCATCTCCAACCTCCCTGAACCTGTTTTAGGCTTTTTCTTATGATTTTGGTCATTCTCTTTCTCTTAAAGTATTGTCAGAGCATATCTGGAACTTGAAGTTAGAACAGTTAGGATACATTTAACTATGTTTGGTGAGGGAGTGCAAAAAGCTAGGGGGAGAGCTGGGAGTCTAGTAAGTGGCAAAGTATTATTTAAGGTCTTTGAAGGAAAGAGCATTTCTAGCCAGCAGAATCAGAAAAAAACTTAACAGAGGTGGGAAAGGGGCATTTGAACAGTAGATGGGCAGCATTTCAACAGATGCAGGATACAGTGGACATTCCAGAGGTAGGGTAACTTATGAATAAAATCACAGAGGAAGGCACAGTTGGGATATGTTTAGGCAATGGTGAATTGCCCAGCCTTCCTGGACCACAGAGTCTTTTCTGATGTAATGGGGCCATTTTTGTCCAGATGCAAGTGCATCGCTCCCTTGCCATAAAAAAGAATAAATTTTCTCTTGCTGA